GAAAAACGCATCTTCGCACGGGCAGCCCGCGCGTTGGCCAATTAACAGTAATAAATAGCAGCGCGCACCAGAATAGCCGGTGCGATCATGCGTTCTGTGTAACTCCGTCTACCGAACGATTGTCCGTTAATGATTTTCACTGGTTTGTACTTTGGTCTGTATAAAAATAGTTGAGTGTAGAGTGTTAAAAATTTCACGCACCGGCATGTGAAAACTGAATTTGAAACCTCGAAGGGTGAATATCCTCCCAAAATTTCAGCCTCCTAATTTTCTTACATTCGAATGATCTTTGGGACAAAACTTCCACGTGGTCGTACGTGAGTCTTGGCATACCTAGCAACTAAATTCAAGTTTGTAAAGCCCCTGCTGAGGCAGGAAATTTTCTCCTGAAGTTTTCAGCCTCCTAACTCTTCTGGCTCCCAAGATAACGATTTTTTTCGCCAAAGCTTCCACGGGGAGTTGTTCCCGTTCTAAGTATCACCCACTGTTAGACAGTGCTTACTATGCAAAGATACCCAAAATGATAAAAGCCTACATCAGGCAAGCCGAACTCGTCAATGGATTTTCTCGTCTCGCTCTCATTTGGCACTCCCGGAGGAATCTGCGATGTTGACGGAATGCAGTCGGTCATCGGTCTTTCCTGAAACTGGAAATCTCAATTTGGATCATTATAATTATTTTATTTGCAACTTCATCAGCCTTAATTTTTATCGTAGCATTATTTTCTGCAAACAGTGTAACTTGAAAAACTTTCCGCAGATCAAAGCTGCATCGTTTGTTGCCAGTAAGTTCGCTTCCATGCCTTCTTTTTTAAAATGTGGAAGGAAGCATAAAAATACTGGATAAAATGAAGCTTCGAGAACTATACAAGCAAAAAGTATCGTTACCCTTTCGGACTTTTTAAAACGCGTGAAATAATGCAGCTCGGTGACATCGCCACACGATTTCATAGACTGCTCGCGGGCGCGTAAAGCCAGTTGCTTGTACTGCGACAAACAGCGAACTGATACCCAAAAGCAGTTTTCCGAATGGTAATACCTGAATTTCACTACATGTCCTTCAACTGCAACAAAAAAAACGGCTACGAAAAAGTAAGTTCTGCGAAAAAAAGCATGTTTTGTGAACACATTTATCAATATATCACACATCCGGAAGCGCTGCTTAGCGTGGTATGTAGCTAAATTTTCCAATCACTGCTGCACTATGTGATAGCTATTCTGCTGGTAATCCTGATGTTCGCTTTGTCTTTACAATTAATAAACCACAGAGTGAATTTTTACTCAAAAATTGCTGGAATAAAGTGCGATGTGCTTATGTGATGCTTGTATGACTTGTGTATTTACAAGATATGCTTATATGTGCAAAATGTATGTGAAAGGCGTTTACTTGTTAGTAGAACGACGAAATGATTGTACCACAACTTAACTACAATCGATGTGCATGGCAGCATGGCTGGCG